GCGGAAAAGTACCTCAAGTGTTCGTGCATTTTTCTCGACACCATTCCAGATGCTAATTCATACATCCGCGTCCAGTCGGACCCGGTCCTCCTACGTGCGGCATACGATAACGCTGCGTCGAGACGGGCGGAAGCACGTGAGTCCTGCCTCCGGAATAATTAATCCGTGGATGTATTACATACTCTGAATCGATTTTTGCAACCTCCACGGGGACGTCATTCATCCAGCTTGCGCTAACGCTACCAGTAAGCCAAATCCAACCTCCAGCGCCTCATCTGATTCTCGTTCCTCCTACTCACGTACGATACACGGCCCGGATGCGTGCGTCCACCTCGAACGCACTCCTCTATCCAAGCCCGATGGCACGCGATGTGAAATGGAGTCCCACGAACCTCGCGAGGCATACTGCAGCCCACCCAATCCAACGCGCCCGTTCCAGCCCAGGCCAGGATTGCGCAAAGATTTACTCTCCTTACTCTTTACGCGCGGAAACGATACTGCTATCGATATCTACACATCACACTGTGCGTTCCCCTCTAAAAGAAAATTTCATCTTCCCTGCCCCACTGTCTATGCGTGTCGGATCCAGGACCCTGCTCGAAGGACTGGGTGCCAGAACGTGCGCCATGCTGCCTCATTTCTTTCATTTCCTTCTTCATTTCTCTTCTCTTCTTTATTTATTTCATCTCTTTTCTGTTCCCAGCCCACAGGCATGGACGGATCCAGGGCGGAGACTCGACAGGGCTGTTAGTTCGCAGGAGACCTCGCACCTTAGCAGCGCATCCCCGACTCGACGCGGTGGAGCAGGGGGAGTGATCCCTAGGGCGTGCTCAGGCCCAGGGAGGCGCGGTACGTGGACGTCGTGGCCAAGAGTAGCGGCTGACGTATGCTACGACATCCCATCCTAACATGACCATACAGGCTCCATCCGATACCGTCCGCACCCGAGGACCAGCGTAGCTAGTCCAGCGGGAGGTCATCGTGCGCTCCTCGCTGTCCGTGGCGGTGGTCAGTTAAGCGACTCGTTCTCGCGTTCGTCATAGAGACTCACAATATCGTCCGTTGTCGTAACGGCGGCGGGTGGCCGGGTGAATCGAGAGTGGGCGGGCGAGTGGTTGGATCAACGGAATATTGCTACAACGGTTGGTTAAATGAAATATTATTCCCACCGACGAAAGACAATGGTGCGGCTCATCCCGACATCGACCAACTGTCATTTTTTTATTTGCAAGAGAAGGGAATGTGGGTTCCTCTTCGGGTTCGGAATGAAATCAAGCAGCCCTCGTGGATTAAGCTGCACCATTTACTTTACTGATGCCCTCGGAGGATATGATCCCCGCCTCCCATTCACACGGATACATTCCCCTCTCTCATTTGGCCGCGATGTGGATCTATTCTTCATGTACACCTTCGAGGGTGGTTTTATTATTATCAAAAAAATCAATAAAGGGCGGTTGTGCAAGCGAATGCGGCTGTATTTGTTTGGCTGTACTTTTTGAACCACAACTTTTGACTTGTTTTTTTTTTTTAAAAAGGACCCACGTGAAATGAGCGCAATGTTGTAGACCAATTGGTCTGCAAATTTTAGGCTTATTGAAGTTGCATGCTGGATGTTGATGGGTTGTGCTGTTACAGATATTGCAGTCCCTGTGTCATTATTCATGAGAAACATGAAGATGGGGTGAAGACGATTATGGCACGGTGACAGCTATAAGTCTAACAGCTATTTGGGCGGATTAAAACAGGAAACAGGATGGTGAGAAACTTTCCAGAGCTTCGAAATTATTCATAGGACACAATGCTGTCACAGGGCTTAACATCTCCTTCTTACTTCCACCATCCATGGATGACGAAGCCCACTCTGAGCTCGAGCTACACGATGGATCGACTGATGAGAGCGAGCCTGGAGAGACCGAGTACGTGCTGCATCTCCACCATCTCGAGGGACAGGCTGAATCCTTTCCAGCTCTCCGGGCGCTTTCTTCCCTAACGCACAGCATTTCGTCGTAACGGGCGGGAATTTCACAAATATAAATCGTCCTGTTTCGACGATTCCGTCCGGTGACTACCAATTTAAATTGCAGAGACTAGCTTTTGAGAATTCGACAGATTTTCGCCGACTCCCGATGGGGGACCTAGATCTTCGTGCTGAAACACGCCTCGACGACTACAACTCAGTTGTCTACCGCAGGGGACCACAGGCTTCCACGAGGCGGATGTATTCCACTCGCGTTCGTGGTATCGACTCAAATATGACGGTGGCCCTGTATCAGGGAAATAATGCCGAGGAGGTGTGTTCCAGGTGTCACCCTACCGATTCCGATCAATTTGTTTGGAAGGAATGGCGGAAGTATATTAAACGGCATTCGTGGCTTCGGTGGGTCAATACCTCGCGGGGAAAGGGTTCACCATCAATTAAGACGTAGCCATCCGAATTTTGCCCAGATTTATGGCACGGCCAGCTCATCTGGTATATATGCTACTGTGTTTCATGACGGTTCGTGCAGTGTCTTGCCTAATGCGCGATCTAACTATTGAACGAACAATAATTAGACTTGGTTCCTGCGAAAGAAATACTAGAGAAGCACCGCGGGTCCCATTTCGTGACTTTATATCTCTTGTACCAGCTAGTAACGGTTTCCCGTGTGCTTCGTTCACCCTCTTGACGAATATTCTCACAGGAAACAGAGCTCAACGTGCGAGGATTATTAATTCCTGTTCCCCATTTTTAGTTGTTCCCTCCGGATAGAATGCCTACGAGCATATGCAATCATATTCAGAGACAAAGCTGGTGAGCAACGCGTTGAAGCAGTCCTTATGCATTTTTCACTGCTAGTATTACTGCAGAGACATTGGGATATTACCATGTGGATACGGCGCTCCACAGGCCGCCTCTGTGTTGAGCTCGCAGTACCCAGTTACGACAGCAATCCGATCACAAGCGGATTCCGTGGAGGCCGGTCGTGGTTGCCCGGCACACCACTTTTTTGTGAACCGCAAGACCACTCGAAAATCATCAAGGCCAACTCGATGGAAAACTATCACGCAGTATGTAGCATATATCTCGCGCAGATGGATACTCATGAGGTTTCCACGAATACCTTGGTTCACCTGGGGAGTGTCGTTTACATGCCAGATGGCTGCGACATTCCACAGGAGGTCGCATGCCTGTCTGATCCCGAGTTTGAGGTTTTCGACTGGCGGCCTCGTGACTGGTCCGACGACAATCCGTGCAGGGTTTTGGGAAGCGGGTGGACTCGGTTAGTTGCCGCTGCTTATGCCTATTACAACATTCACATTTCAAAGGGTCAATTCCAGTGACGCTCGCCATAGAGCTTTTGAACTCCGAGTTGATACAATGGAGGATGTCTGGTTGGCTCAGGCGAATCACATTTTTGATAGTGCCAAGATCCCGTCGAAGTACGGCGACTATGGTAGGTGTACATACTGCGCCCATTCCCACATTTATGCACTGGCTAGGATTTATATACTGGGTGAAATATTCGCTGAATTTGTGCGAGGCGAATGATATTCCCCACGGATACCTGTTCCTGTGCCCTTTGCAGGATCTACGAGGCAGTTGCCCCTCAGAGTTCCGATATCCAGCCTGCCCAGCATACTGGTCCCTCGATCCATCTGGCACTCAGCGCCTGGGCTCAGAGGAAGCAGAAAGACTCGGTTTCCCATCATTCACACTGCGCACGTCCATCTGGATATATTCATGGGATGATCTTGCTTACGCTGGCATCGCGGAATTCCACCAAGCCAAATGTTTCGATCCATACAGTCAAGATGTCGCCCGTGAGCTTGGGTATCCACTTTTCGAAGTCTGTGGTAAGACTGATATCCTATACCGTATCTCACCTCTGATTTTTTTCAATGTTGTTCAGTTCATAAGACCGAAGTCTCTGACGACGACTTATCGAACGGTGCATTTTGCGAAGAAGTAGCTTCTCACGAGCCATCTGGTGCGTCGTTCAAGAATGTATGGCCTGTGTATTCTATCATTCACCCACCCATTATTAGAGCGGAAGGAAAGCTCCTGCGAAATTGACGATGCAGATTTGCTTGAACTAACCCTGCACTGGAAGCTTTTCATGGGTGCACAATTTGCAGTCATCGTTATTTTGACGATATTTTCTTTGTACGAACACTATTTCTTCTAAAGTACTGGTATGCGCTGGGGGATGTACTGGGAAGTGCTGGAATGTATGATATTTACTATCTTTGCTTTCTTTCAACCGGCATTTGAACAGTTCTCGTAAGAACGTAATAAAGTCGCACGAGGGAAGCCTCATGTTCAATTTCAATCTCGTTCAGTGCAAGTAAGACAGAATTTCAACAGGTTCAATTTCCCCTCTTACCAGTTCGACCACATTGAAATTCTTTAGTGAACTGTGGCCTTCAACAACTCCGACAACCCAGTTAAACCACTCAATTGAACACGAGCCTAGAATTTCGACTTCCCTCTTAACTGGGTTGAGACCGTGTCAAAGAAGGGAGTTTCATAATTAATGTCCAGGCTCAGATGTAGGGAAAGAGCCCTCGCCGATAAATAATACATCAGGCCATGCACATCCAAGCCATACGGAGGATGTAATTAGCCTAGCAAGCGGGGTTCGAATCATCCCGAGGGCATGTCTGTGGGTAACTTGTTGTTTTTTTTTCACTGCAGGAAAGGGTTAGAGAAGTAGCCTTGTTCAGATGAAGGGGACATCATAATCCTTGTAGATGAATCGGCACATCACCCATTGCACATAAGCAGAACAAAAGAAACTCCGCCCCATCGCCATGAGAGAACAGAATGTGGGACCCTACGCTTTTTCAAAGGGAGAGAAAATAGCTCTTGTGCATGAATTGGTGAATCACCCATTGCACATAAGCAGAAATCCACCATGTTCTGAGTGGGAAGTGGGAGTTTGAGTGCTCTTCAGGGCGAGCTGCAATTTTCTCGTGCAAGAGAAGCATGAATCAACCTATGTTCAGAGGTATGGAAAATAGCTCTTGTAGATGAAACGGTACATCACCCATTGCGCATGCTTGAGTGCTAGCTGTAAAAATGGGAGGAGGAGGTTCGAATCCCCCCAAGAGCATGATCGATGAGGATGGTTTTTTTTTCAGGTTTTTATACCGTAAGCAAGGAGGAACTGGGACTGTAGGCTCGCACAACATATTATAAGCCTTTCGCGCGCTGCCAACGTGGAAATGATAGGGGGAGGTTGCGGGCCGAACTTGTTTTTGCTGAAAGAAAATATAGCCTGTCGGATGTCCAGCCTTAGAACACAGCAACTGAACGGTATCCTCTGCCTGGATGGCTGGGGATGTTGAACGATCCACAATTTAATCTGCGAGGAGCCTTTTGTCACCCAGCTAGAACTAGGTAGACTGCTGCGCACTGCACCGTGAGGATGGGCATCTGATGCCCAAGTAAAGTTTATGGATAGATCTTTTTATCAGATCCTCAGAGTAATTAAATGGCTCTCTGTGTCGATTTCCATGAAGACCTGGCAAGAAAGCAGCAAGGCCGAGGAAGCCGGTCAGTCGATCTAGGACGGATCAACTCGGATTGCTTCCAATAAGTTTGATCCGCACACCTCTTTTCTTCCCGCCATTTCCTCAAACGACGAACTCGGTCCCACCGCTCCCGCTTCACGCTGCGCAGTACACGATGGGACCAACGGTGTCCAGGAATTCCTCGCGCCGCTGTCGTCCGAGCGCAACTTTGCCACACCTCCGCAATATCTTTTCAGACACCAGCGTATTTCAGCGTCACCTGCTCTTCGAGGAACTCGACCTGCTCGGCGCTGCCGACCAACTGCGCAGGTGTGGGAGTGTTTCCCGGTCCCGATGGAGAGACGACACGCCTGGGACCTTATTCTAACTGTTGTACTGCCTACGACTTCCCGACTTGAAGACACCTCACACACTACCGCTCTTCGGCGGTCAGCGCACGCGATCTCAGCGCCGGCATCCACAAGATCAGCTGTCGTGAGGAGAGGCGCGTCAATCTAATGTGCGCCACCGCATTGCGCCCGATTCTGTAGCAGGCGCGTAGCTGACGTGCCACACGAGGGCCAGGCGGGGCCGTATGCGCGGAAGGGCCTCCTTATGTTCGTGTGCTCCAACATGCAGGTCATCGAGCAACTGGCCTTCAACGTCCTGCAGCTGCTCACCCTCGGCGCCAACCTCCCAGACATCGAGCGGAAGCTGATCGACATTCACTTGTCTCTGAATGCCTTCGGCCGGGTCAACGTGTGTGCCTCTCCTGCCGTCTTGATCCCAGGGTTTCGGCTGAAGCACCACAGTGCCTCATGAACGATGCGACTGTGTGCTGCCGCGCTTGGGTGCTCTACCACGACAACCTCAAAGTGCGCCTGCTCCTCATTCTGTGTCCACTCGACAGCTTGGGTGCGTCGCAGTATTCCTCCTTCTATTGTGCCGTTGCTTACATCGCCCGCCAGCCGGCGCGACAACGCACATGACGTTCGGGCGCCGAGAAATTCGACCCCTCCGGCTCGCACGCGTTCATCATGGTCCTTCCCCTCTTCGCCACCAACATCGTCGCCACCTCCCTCATGGCCTACAAAATGTGGTGAGTAGATATCCATTCTAGCCCGCTTCCCCGAATTCGTATGTTGTGTTAATCGGCACCGCAGGCAATATCGGCAGCAGATCAGGGTGCACCTCGACCTTCCGAAAAACAAGCAGACGAAAGTCAAGCGCATCCCCGTCATCCTCACCGGGTATATACTGTCTCATCTGGGTATGCTTTCCTTCGTCCGGGATATTCATGTTCCCGTACTTACCTGTTCATGTTCACCAGATCCCCTTCCTGTACACCATCCTCACGAACCAGGGCGGGGACACGACGGGCTACAAGATCGTCGCGAACATAATCCCGCAGCTCTCCGTACGCCCTCTTCCCTCTTTTCTTCCACAATTCGTAGTACTCACGCATATTATGGACGCACACAGGCGATCTATTGCGTCATCATCGTCCTCCTCGTCTCGCTCGACGGCACACACCTCTAATCCACCGTCATCGGCATCAGCACCAACACCGACTCGGACCCGATCCACTTCGTCGGGAACACCACTGGGACAGGCACGGCGACGACGGGAACGCTCCGCATGGGGTGCCGATCCGCCTCGCTGACACGTCGCGTTCCAGTGACGTCGATTCCGTGGTGGCGGAGAAGGAGAAGGCGGACGGCGCCGCGAAGCGGACAGTACCGTTTCGGGGCTAATTGAAATATCTTGTGCGCAGAGAAGAATGGATTATCTTGTGAGGAGAGGGCTAATTATTATATGCGGAGAGAAGAGAAGAGCAACCATTTTGTGCATTAATATTCACACGTACCTTGTGGCGCTGCATGCGGCTCCGCGGACGTACCTACATACACGATTCCTTACAAATACATATTAACTATTACGGCGAGGATATTACTATTCGATTCCGTGTTGTGAAACTAGATGAATGAACACGACTTGAAGAAACTTTAGGTTCACAAGAGGAGGAAAAATGGGCTCATATTTATATTCAGGTTCGGAAAGGCCCTCGCGGTGCCGATGATTGGCTAGCAAGTGAATGGAGGTGCGGCTTCGAATCCCGCCGCACTTTCAAGTTTGTCTTCGCGGTGATTACTGATTATACTTTTGAAAATTGTGAAAAAAGACGAGATTATATCGAGGTTCAAACTACGCATAATGACCCTCGTGAACGAACCCATTTCACATGCATTCTTGAGTCGGTGATCAAATATGAATAGGAGCCAGAGGTTCGAATCCTACGGAGGGCATAGGAAGGAAAGTCACGGTGTATTTTTGCATCAGATTAAGGTATATCCGGAGTCATTCTGGAGGTGAATAACGACGCATATGATAGGTTAGTACAAAAGCCAACGCGTCCGCCCCGGCCGAAGTCCGCATGGAGGCAAAAAAAAAAGAAGATGAATAGATGGTAATATGTCAGCAAGCGCGTTTATACGTACCATAGTGACTTGTGAATTAGGACGAGTGAGATTAAGGTGCATACACATCTTGTACGCACCTACAATAGCACTTGAGCACCGTTTATGGCAATCGTTGGTCAATCGTGTGCTGGAAATCTGTTCTTTGCCGAGCCAATATCCAGGAGCTGAAAGCGGCACCTGTGAACGGCCTGTGTTCCATTTCGTTTTCCGAGACGCCGGTAGATACCAAACTTCAGCTACACTTCCTTGTTCAAGCCGGCAACTGCGAACTGTTGTCAAAGCGTTAACGTTGTCAATATACACGGAGCCTTTGGGATGGCAGCGCAGCCCAGTGTTAAAGGGGAAGCGCGGCATTGAGCGGATTTGAGGAGGACCCCTGATAATAGGTGGGAAGGCCAGGTCCGCTGGAGGACAAAATTTGGGAATTTGGGCGGACGGACAAAAATGGTGTCTTGAGGCCGGGAAGCCCAGATCCTGTGTGGACAAAATTGCTGAGACTAAGGCTAGGCAAGTTTCCCACATAATACTTTGATAGCTCTATGGTTTGTGGCGCTCAACTTAAATACGCTCAATTTTGTTCCTCCTCTCCTCAAACCCTAGTAGCCACGCTTTTTTGTCTTTTTTGATCCACTTATTAGTCCCATCCGGCTGATTCTGACGATGATGATGACGGGGAGAGCTAATTTAGTTCTATATGACGGGAACCGGGACGCAAAACCGTCCTACTGCATTAATTAATATTGTCTATGTGGTTACGATCCACGATATTCAGCCCCGCAGGGGAAAAAAAAATCGAAACTTTGGCTAGGTTCGGGACGGACAAAAATCCGGGCAATCGGCACAAAACCAAGGCGGACAAAATCGACCAATCGGCCGAGTTTGGGACCTGGCCTTCCCACCTATTATCAGGGGTTCTATTTGAGGATTACCAAGAGCTCGAAGTGGCAGAGAGCGTTCGGATTTGGGCCGGATCAATTCGGATTGAGCGAGATCATTTTGATCCGCAATCCCCGCCAGGGCACATCGGACCTCGACGTTCGTCTCTTCGGTATTCTGCCACTCTCTCTTTTCCAAACTCTTCTTTCCCACCTCCAGTAGCAAATTAGGGTCACGCCGCTCTCGCAGATACTGCAGCTCGCCATAGCTTTGAAACTATTCATAGGTCGCACTGCACACTGCTGTAAGGCGCTTAACCTCTCTCCTACTTACCTCCACCATCCATGGACGACGAAGCCCACTCTAAGCTACACGATGGATCGACCGACGAGAGCGAACCTGAAGAAACCGAGTATGTGCCCCATCCTCACCTTCTCGTTGCCAGTCGGAGAGAACCACATACCTTCCAGGTCTCCGAGCGCTTTCTTCCCCAAAGCACATCATTTCGTGGTGAGGGGCGGAAACTTCACAAATATAAATCTTTCTGTGCCTACGATTCCTTCCGGTGAATACCAATTCAGATTGCAGAAGACTAGCTTTGAGAATTCGACAGATTTTCGCCGACTTCCAATGGGGGATCTAGATCTCCGTGCTGAAATATACCTAGACCACCACAGCTCGGTTGTATACCGCAGGGGAAATCAAGCTTCCGCGAGGCGGATGTATTCCACTCGCGTTCGTGGTATCGACTCAAATATGACGGTAGCCCTGTACCAGGGAAATAATGCCGAGGAGGTGTGTTGCAGATGCCACCCGATTTAATCCGAGTTAATTTCATTTGGAAGGAATAGCGGGAGGGTCTCCAGCGGCATTTGTGGTTTCGGTCAGTCACTCCCTGCCAGAAAAAGGCTTCACCTTTAATTTCAGACATAGCCATCCGAACTTTGTACAGATTTATGTAGGGCTGCCGCCCGTTGCCGTGACGGCAACGGCCGTCGATTTACGGCCCGTGGAGTGGTCGAAAAAAATCCTGACGGGACGGGACGGTCAACGGCACGGCCGTACCGGGTGTTGAACGGCACACGGGTCGGTTGAAATTTAATTTCGTGCGTATCAATGTAGGATTGATTCCTGTACAAGCTATATGTATTTTTGGATGTCTAGGTGTGTTCCACCGCTTCAATATTCAAAATATGTCGCATTCTACAGTGAGAAAGCTGCTTCTTTGCTTACCGAGCTAAGTT